GTGAATGAGGAAATACCAGTGATTGCGAAATCACAAGCCAGAGTGACTAAGAACCCCAGAAAAGTCGCCGCTGGTAAAAAGGGTGGGTTAGCGAGGAAGTCGGCAAAGCCCCACAATTCAAATATTGAACATTGTCCTCCGATTAAAACTTGGGCTCCCTATGCACTAGGAGTTGTTGCTATAGCGGTGGTATGGTTGTTTTATAAGACCGGAGAAGAGAAAATGTCAATCCCGATTACACAACAACAAGTTCAATTAGAGGTAAGCCCCCATATAATGTTATAAAAAGCATGACTACTCCAGTTACAGATGGTAAAATGTTGGTAAACCCAACGTATCATTCAGCGGTGGTCAGCGGCTTGGCCATTGGCTATGCCCGTATGGCTAAAATGATTACTAAAGCCACACCACCCAAGCTAGATTTTAATGGTGATGATATCAGTATGATGGTTCTTGATATTGGATTGGCAATGGCTACAAAAGATATGCTAATCAAACAAGGGCTTATCCCAGAAGACATAATGAAGTAAGTAAACATTTGAATATTTTATATTATTGAACATTTGAACATTTTATATGGCAACAAACCCCAGACTGTTAGAGAACTCAAAGCTCAAGCGAAAAACAGTGGGCTGAGAGGTTATTCTCGAATGAGAAAAGCTGAATTGATCACTTTACTAGATAATAATAAATCAGTTTGTGATGTTGATAATAATGAGTTAAAACTTGTCCCCACAGCTGGCATTGGTAAATATCTAAGAGGTTGGAAGATGGATATTAATTCCAACATGGATGTTAATGATGTTAAGCCCATCGTATTGAGCAAAATTAACGAGGAGTTAGATGATTTGAATAGTATAAAATACCAGCTGATGGTTAAAATGTCATTGAGTAAAAGTAACGCAGACAATAGCACTGAATATACCGAACCTTATTTTCGGAGCAATCAAGAAGTTATACCTGAATCCGATACTATAAGCACATCATTAGATACATCTATTAAGAGGATACAAGAAACTTTAGAATGCTGGACTAATACAGGTTCGGGTTGGGGTGTGGATAAAAACGATAGTTTATATCTAGATATAGCAAATTATATGCCTTCCAAAGGTGGATCTTATATAGATTTACCCCCATATTATAAAAAGAAAAAAGCCATAATTAATGTAAAAAATAAAGGCGGTGACTGTTTCAGAATGATGATAAGATCCACATTGTTCCCCTCAGACAAACATCCGGATAGACCTTCGAGCTATCCCCAAAATGATGGACTCAACCTTGATGGTATAGACGAACCTACACCAATCTCACAAATTGATAAGTGGAAAAGCAAAATAATTTAGCTATAAATGTTTTCAGACATTCTTCTAAAGGAAATGTTGTACACAGGATAAGCTCCGCTCAGGAACATATTCCCAGATTCAATTCATTTCTGATAAAAAAAGATGGTAAATATCATTATACATGGATAAAGAGTTTAAGCAGGCTATTATGCGATCAAACAAAACATGCAGGAAAGAAATATTTCTGTGAAAGATGCCTGCATGGATACAGCAGACAAGATCTATTAGAAGCGCATAAAGAAGACTGCAGAGGTGTTGGACCGAATGCTATCATGATCGATATGCCTAAAGAGGGGAAAAATATATTATAATTTGAACATTATTGTAATCAAATGCCAGTACCGTATGTAATTTACGCTGACTTCGAAGCGCTTATCAAACCTATAGAAAATACCGAACGCAATACTGATAGTAGTTTTACGTACAACAATCAACAACATATTCCTTGTTGGTTTGGATATATAGTTGTAAGGTTTGATGGGAAAACAAACCCGTCCATGATTTACAGAGGTTCTGATGCAGAGGGAAAGTTCCTAGAATATCTACAAAACGAAGACAGAATAATCAGGGAAAATTTTTCGCGTAAGAAACCGATGTGTATGACGAGGGATGATTGGAGGGCCTATAAGAAGTCAACGTGTTGTCATGTTTGTAATAAACCCCTGAATGGGGATTCCGTAAGAGATCATTGCCACGTCACGGGTAATTATCGGGGAGCAGCACATAACGAGTGTAACTTGAAACTAAAAATGAATTCTCAAACAATACCAAACCCCGTTGTGTTTCATAAACTTAGAGGATATGATTCTCATCTCATTATGCAAGCTCTCTCAAAGACCGACGGCAGCTTAACATGCATTCCTAATAATATGGAAAAATATATATCATTCTCGTTGACTAAAACTATACATTACACGGACAAGGATGGGAAGCCAGAATAAAGCAAAGTAATGGGCTTAGATTCATAGACTCCGTACAGTTTCTGTTATCTTCCCTGGACAATTAAGCTAATGCGAACAATCCCGATGAGTTTGCAATAACAAAACAATATACTGATCGGTGTCGTCATTTGTTGTTGAGAAAAGGTGAATATCCTTATGAATATATGGATGATTGGTCTAGATTCAACGAAACTAAATTACCACCCCTTGAATCATTCTATAGTAACTTAACAGAATCTAAAATAACCAATGCCGATTATGAACACGCTCTGACGGTGTGGGATAAATTAGGTTGTAAGAATTTAGGCGATTATCACGATCTGTACTTAAAAACCAATGTACTGTTACTCACTGATATATTCGAGATATTTAGAAAGACATGTTTAAAACAATACGGCTTTGATCCGGCATGGTACTATTCCAGTCCCAGACTATCATGGGATGCATTGTTGAAGAAGACCGGTGTAGAACTAAAATTACTCACAGATTACGATATGCACTTGTTTATTGAGAAAGGATTAAGAGGTGGTATATCGATGGTAGCGAAAAGGTATTCCAAGGCTAATAATAAATTAGTGGAAGGATATGATCCAAGTTAACCCGACACGCACATATTATATCTCGACGCCAACAATTTGTACGGATGGGCTATGAGTCAACCTTTACCCATGAGTGGTTTTGAGTGGGTTGATGTGAATGATATTGAAGTGAATGATATCCCCATAGATTCCGATAAAGGGTACATACTAGAAGTTGACTTGGAATATCAAAATTCGTTACATAAAGATCATAACCATTATCCGCTAGCTCCTGAGAGATTAATGTGAATAAAGATTGGATATCGGAATATCAACACTCCTTGATGGGTAATACTAGGTTAGCTAACGTAGAAAAACTCGTACCAAATTTTATGGATAAGACAAAATATATAGTTCACTACAGGAATCTTCAGTTATATCTATCGTTAGGTAGGAAACTAAAGAAAATACACAGAGTTCTAAAGTTTTATCAAAGCCCTTGGATGGAGCCCTATATAAGGCTGAACACAGATTTAAGAAAGATAGCTATCAGCGATTTTGAAAAGAACCTACATGTATATAAGCTCATGAATAACTCAGTATTTGGTAAAACTATGGAGAATCTAAGGAAGTGTGTTGATGTTAAATTAGTCATGTACGACACGAGTGATTACCCAAAAGATAATCCACTGCACAGCGTAGTAAATAAATAGGTGTTAGGTAAGATGAAGGATGAATGTGCTTGGATTCCTATAGAGGAGTATGTCGGATTAAGACCTAAGATGTATTCTATAAAGAAGTCCGATAATGGAGAGATAAGAAAAGCTGAGGGTGTTAAGAAGTATGTGGTAAAAAAGCATATCAAACATGAACAGTATAAAGAAGCATTATTCAAAGGTAGAACATTCACACATGAGATGAACTCTTTAAGAAGTTACAATCATAAGATATATGTATTGAGAATGAACAAGACATCATTCTCCCCCTTAGATACAAAGAGATGGATTGATAAGGATGGTGTAACTACCTATGCTTATTGTTACTTAGGGTGGTAATACTGTATCGTTGGGAACTATGAGCAACTCTTCTCTTACAAATGCCATGCCCGTTCCATCTTTAAGATAATAAAGAATAGGCTCTCCTTCTTTCATAACCAATCGACTAATGTTATATGTCTTAAGAGACCAAATCGGATCGGTTGCGTGACGTAGGCCTCCTTCGAGTTCACCAGGCTGGTATAAATATCTTACCCTTACTCTATCCGGAAGTTTTTGTTCTTTGCCTCTCCTCGGTGCTGAAGATTCGGAAGTCACAGATTTCATTTTAATCGCATCGGATGGTTTCTTCCCGATTAATCTCGTTACTTCATTATTCAGCGCTGATACAACGGCTGATAATCGTGTCACCCATTCGGTTGATCTCAATCGTTCTGATTTCATTTCGATCCCATACTGATAGCCAAACAAACGTTCCGCTAATGTCTGGTTAAATCTTTCAACGATAGCTTGACAACAGTGGGCCTCTTTTTCACCATGCCTGAATTTGTCATCGTGCTTTGTTAACAGTTTAGTTATTGATCCAATAAACTCGCGACCAGGATCTACTTGAAATAGCTTAGACCATTTTAGTCGTCCGCTTTTATATATGCGACTCAGTGCATTAGCTACTTCTGTTGAATCTTTCGAGGTTATCGGCTCAGGCTCTTTGTATTGACTAGCCACATCCACTACTGTTAAAGCATATTTATACGTTTTGCGTCTTACCTTATCATGGGGAAGAAACAAGAGGTCTGCCTGATGAACTTCATTCATTGTAAAATATCAAACTTCTTCCTCGGTATATAACGCGGTGCCGGTAAGTATATTTGCCACATCGCTTGTTTCTTTAGCCAATCCTTGGCCTTACTTTAGATACCTTAGCCGCAGTGGCTAATTTTTTGTATTGCTCCTACACCTTTCCAATATCCTTGTGGGCTATAGTAAATATTATTCATTATTAATTAATATTGATGTTTCTTTTAATACGACTTATGATGATCGTTGAATCGCATCATCGTTTTTGCATAAAAAATTCCATCTGTAGTAGCAGTATAGGTATATAAATCTGGCTCCAGTGGAAGTGGTCCAGAATCACCATTACCTACAGCATACTACTTTGGTTGTTTGACGTATGCTGTAATTTCAACATAGTAGAATCCTTTCATCTTCCTGTCATGGCTAGCTTACATACTTCTGTGCAGGCTGAACTCGTGCAAGCTCATGGTAAAAGAAGGCTTCCAATTCGTTTGGGTAAATGATAAAGCTGACCAATTTATGTACAACTTGTTGAGCAGTGAATGCCACTCTTTATTAGAAAAGGCTGTTGACGAAGTGTTACACAATATAGACGATAGTGTTAGATACATGTCAGAGGCCTTGTGCACGGCAGCAAGTGACATGAAAAGAGGGTGTACTTTTAACACATCTCGTCAACAGTGGTTTGACCGTGAATATGAGCTACTTAAAAAAGAAAAATGTATATATTTAAACAGTTTTAGGAGAAAAAAGGATAATAACTCATTATATGAGTATAATTATATTAGAAATAAATATAATAGTGTATGCAGAGAAAAGAAAGTGAAAGGGAAGCAGGAAAATCTTGAACATTGTATACGCGATTCTAAACAATTTTGGACCCCTCTTAAAAGACTAAATACTAATTGTTATGCAGAAAACAATATTCCAATTGATGATTGGTTTAACTATTTCTAGGATCTATTTTCAACTTCTACAGAGAACGAGGATAGATGTTATGATATCGACGAATCGAATGCATTTGATAACTCTTTTTGTCATTTAACTTCAGATATTCTTGATTTGCCTATAACAAGAAACGAAATTTTAGAAAGCATTGCAAACTTAAAAAGTAATTAAGCATCTATAGACGATAACTTGATTCCTGAATTGTTTAAATAACAGAACAGAACAGCTGACTTTGGGGATTGTAATTCCTTTGCACAAACAGGGATCAACTAATGTCACCAACAACAATAGGGGTATAACTCTTTTGAGTGTTTTCTGTAAGATCTTTACCAGTATTATACACAAACGTTTAGTATTTTTGACCGATTCCTTTATTAAGATAGATGAGTCTCATGGCGGTTTCAGGCGTGGATACATTGATGATGTATTTATATTGCAGACACTAGTACAGAGATATTTAGCACAATAGGAGAAAAATGTATGCTATATTTGTTGATTTTGCTAAAGCGTTTGTCTCAATTAACAGAAACGTGGTGTGGTCCCTTTGCAAATCTCAAGGTATCAGAACTAAAATTGTTAAATTACCATGTTGCATATATCATGTGTGGAGGTTTGTGTTCGAAACAAAAACACCTTAACTGATTCCTTCTATTGTAATATTGGGGTTAGACAAGGATGTATTCTAATTCCATTTCTGTTTTCGTTTTTCATAAATGAACTTTCGATACAAATATCTGAAAATTGTAACGCAGGCATCCAACTCCACCATTAAACTTTTTCTACTCCTATTTGCTGATGATATAGTTAGGTTCTCGAGCAAATTGCCTGGACTTCAAAAGTTAATAAATGAACTTAAGTACTATTGTAACAAATGGACATTGAAGGTCAATATCGATAAGACAAAGGTTATAGTTTTCAAAAATGGAGGGAAATTATCAAAACGAGAAAAAATGGTCATATAAAGGTAAAAAACTTGAGGTTGTAAGAAGTTACAAATATTTGGGGGTACATTTTACAAATCGACTAACTTGGTCAATGCATTGCGATAAAGCCGCACTGCAAGCCAAAAATATTTTAATTGTCATTTCACAAACCTAAAACCCCTTGGAAATATTAGGTATGACACTTGTTTCAAGATTTTCGACACAAAGATCAGTCCTATTCTAATCTATGGTGTTGAAGTATGGGGTCTAGGAAACTGTTACAATAGAGAAGGTACATCTATTTGTGTGTAAAAGATTTTTAGAAGTAAATTCCAACACTTCAAATGTTACAGTTTACGGGGAATTTGGGAGATACCCTATATATATATATACATTTAGTTACATAAACGTAATAAAATATTGGATAAAATTGTACCAGATTCCCAAAGAAATGATTCTTTACGATAGCAGAGGTAAAAATAACTGGGCCTCGGGTGTCAAAAAGATACTCCAATCTTGCGGGTATGAGTACATTTAGAGAGAGCAACATGTAACAGTACCAGATCGTTTCGTATATAATTTAAGACAAAGGCTAAAAGATATGTATTTTCAAAAGTGGTACTCTTCACTCTGTTTACACAATAAGTTAAATCATTACAATTGTTTTAAATCTTTCATTCTTACTGAAAAATATCTTTTGGATATAAATGTTAAGAAATTCCGTTTCAGATGTAGTTCTCATGACCTTCTAATAGAAAAAGGTAGACATTTAGCGATATCAAGGGAAAACAGATTGTGTAAATATTGTACTTGCCATGAGATAGAGGATGAATACCATTTTCGCTAGTCTGTCCATTGTATGCAAACATCAGAAAAGAATACATACATACATATTTTTATCTGAATCCTAGAATAGACAAATTTTATATCCTTATGTCATCTCAAAATGAAACAGTCACAAAATACCTTGCAATGTATATATACCATGCAATAAACATCAGATCCTCTGCATTATAGATGTGATATTTAGTTACGATATATGCAATTCCTATTACACTCATTGCTACTGTATGTGTATATGTACTATAGGCCTATGGCCTTTTCAGTACTTGAAATAAAGATTGATTGATTGTAGATAAGCCAAACATTGATCGATACTACTGATCAGTTCAGGTGACACCTACTACTTTCTGTATCCTGCAATGATGTATGCTGCATATATACAATACAAGACATAAAATATCCAAACGATCAATATTATTTTCATTGTTAAATACAAATCACAACCCATTTCTGCAATATTCAATGAACATTTCAGCAACATTTCATTAAATGTTTATGCTGTTACAAAATAGATAATTTAGTACCGATTTTATTTGAACTGACAGACATGATCAATCTACCTGGTGTGAACATTATACCCAGACATGATCAATCTACCTGGTGTGAACATTATACCCAGGCATGATCAATCTACCTGTTGTGAACATTATACCCAGGCATGATCAATCTACCTGGTGTGAACATTATACCCAGGCATGATCAATCTACCTGTTGTGAACATTATACCCAGGCATGATCAATCTACCTGTTGTGAACATTATACCCAGGCATGATCAATCTACCTGGTGTGAACATTATACCCAGGCATGATCAATCTACCTGTTGTGAACATTATACCCAGGCATGATCAATCTACCTGTTGTGAACATTATACCCAGGCATGATCAATCTACCTGGTGTGAACATTATACCCAGACATGATCAATCTACCTGTTGTGAACATTATACCCAGGCATGATCAATCTACCTGTTGTGAACATTATACCCAGACATGATCAATCTACCTGGTGTGAACATTATACCCAGACATGATCAATCTACCTGGTGTGAACATTATACCCAGACATGATCAATCTACCTGGTGTGAACATTACAGCCACTGACTCAACGTGAAACAGTCGTCACAATTCAACTTGCCCTATGATGTCCGAGCTGTCGCCATTAGCAAGCCAAAATCAAGGAACAAGTATTACAGTTTACCTCATGGTAATCTCAAGTTATAGGGATCAAGGAATACATTTTCCACATGTAACGGCTGCCAAACACATGTTTACATGCCTGAGAACTGGACCGGGAAAGACCACGTCTCTAGGAAATCCATAGATTGTGTTGGCAGATCACGGGGAGATCCCTACATTCTACTGCTGAGCAACGTACTCAAATCCAGGAGGTATGTTACTATATCCAAAGTCTTCAAAATCATCTTTAAACAGTTCCATGACAGATTTCAACAAGGAAATGGGAATGCATTTGTATGCCGCTATCAGTGCTTCTTGTCTTTGATTTTTCCACTTTTTTCTCTCCATCTTAGATGCCGAGAAATATGTGTCTAATACAAACTTTCTGAACACAGTCCTGTTGATATTGGGCATTTTCGTCAGCTTTTTAACAACAGAAGTAGCGTCAGTGTTGTTCGAAAGGAATCCATTCCACTGGAAAACAGTCCATAGCCTTCTAATGAGTTCCGTCTTATTTATACACGTGTAAAGAAATGTTCCCAGTCTCACATCAAAGTTATAGTCGATAAGGGTAGTGAGTTCTTCCCGTACATACGCGTCGTAGTCAAACGACTTCAACATCCACCCGCGACCATTTCCCTCTAAAGTGTACCTCGCGTCATCACTAAATGTCTCCATTTTCCCGATAATGTTTGGCCTGAACTGACAGGGATCGCATCTGTACTTAATTGGTTGCCAGTGCTCATTTTTACGTATTTTGGAACCCGAAACAACGTATTCCAGAAACTCCCGAAAGCTGACATCATTATGGCATTTTGAAGCTTCCTCGGTAATATTTGTTCGTGTTTTAATTATTTTACCTGAATGCTTCTTCCAGAAATCTGGAAGATACAATTTATCCAGATATGCTGACCAAAGTCGTGCGTATGGGTTCCTTGAAAACATAATGCGAGTGTACTTGTTGAGTATGGCTCCGCTCATGTGCCCCCTCTTCAATACCTTTGTGTTTGTTGTATTGCCATAGTGAACAAATGATCGTGGTATTTGAAAAGGACTGGGAACGTGGTATAGACCTGTGTCATTGTTCAAGAACAGGAACACTCTCTTCCAGAAGGTCGTGCCAATTTTAGCTACGGGGCAGTAAGCCAGTTTCGTTCCTTCACTGACATACACCCTCCGCAGCACCCCCTGGTGCCCCTGCATCCCTCTGCATCTGTTCTGTACGTGTCTCACTCGCTGCTGTATCGCCTCTATAGTCGGGTCATGTGGTCCCTGGCGTACATCTTGATGTCGTGTGGTTTGGTCATGTGAAGCCCAAGTCATTGACTTGACGTTGCCACCACTTGCATCCATGACTGTAGGCACCCAGATAGAAACAAGCATTTATTACACTAAATATTAAAAGGGAAGCAGAGCAGCGATTAGTAAACAATGTAAAACAGTGAATGAGTTCCTTGTGTTATATTTCTGTTTTCAAAAGCATTTCAGTTAATCACGGCGCGGAAGCGGAATAAGCCCCGAGCACTTTTGTATCACTCATACATTTTCTCCTGCTCCTGCTGGTGTATCATATACGATGATATAATTAAAATACTTAAAATAACACATTTGGCCCGAACTGCTTTCAGTCTACCATCACACCATGGTTCAGAGAGTAAGATCGTGAAAATCATGCAGGAAAATACGTAATAAACAGAATTTTTTCTTTTCCTTGTCAAACAAAACGCTTTTCTCATTTCGTGACCTGCAAAGTTTATATTTTTATTCCAGTATGCCTCATTCATAAACATATCAACTTGCAGGTAACTCGATAAGATGAACATGTTATATGACTAGAAAAGACAAATATTCTCCATAAAGCCGTGTCCTGTGTTCAGCTGTACTTAATGAACCGTATTAACAAACCGCCAAATGCCAAAAGTCATGGCGATTCTGAAGTCAACTTCGTGACATCATTCCCACTTATTTGCATTTGAAAAGTTAGTCCTTCGCACAAGAAGCTAGTACCGATTATCATCAAACTCTAATAGTCTCAAATACATTCAGTTATGACCAACATACTACCTGTTGATGCCTTCTCGGGTTGTTTCACGTGTCATTACTTCTGTAATATCACAAGTTAGATCATCAAACGCGCCAATTTTAGCTGATAGAATAATTAACTTGAAAGAGCTTGGGTCTTGCTGGGGGACTACGCAGCAAATGCAAGGGCCCTCGGAAACTGGCATTGCACACCTCCCGCTCACCCCTAACGTCAGGTCAGAAGGTGCTATCCGAGAGAACGTGTTTGCCCTCGGTGAGTAGCTCAGTCGGATGATGGAGTGGGAGACAAAATACGGGGTTTAAGACGTTTTAAGTTTAAGACGACATCAGCCAGGTTTATAGTAGTGTTATAGTGCAAACTATTTCAATACTTTAATTTAAAATTGTGCAAACCATTTCAATACTTTCATTTAACATTTAATTTATATAAATACCTAACTTGTTCAATATGTTTCCAAGTGCACCGAAATTCTATGCCCTTTGCCTGTTTAATATATTCAGCAAACATTGGGCATATTCCCTCTTATCATAAGCCCCTCCGGCCAGGACCCTCCAGCGCTATCTATAAATTTCAATTAACACCTCCTTACGTCGCCGTATCTTAGGTATATACATACGCGTGGGACAATGACCTTGCCACACGTTACGTAATACCTCGCTCTACAAAACCCGACTGACATGGTCAGTCAGGGAGACAGCCTGGAGACAGCCAGAAGATCGACTCGTGTAAGTGACAGAACGGTTCTCCCACCCGGGAACATTGGCCACTCGGTCCCGGTGTGCGTTCTGTCACGTTATTATCAACATGTCCCTTTTCGACTCGTTTCAACCATCAACAATACATATGGCTGCTGTCGTCTAAACTTCACCCCTGAGTTTTGTCCTCCGTCATCACCCTGAGCTACCATCCGAGGGCCGAAACTTACGCCCTTGGACAGATGATGGAGAATTATCCGGGAAGCGTGAGTTTGCTGTGACTCAGGCACGATTCCCCTACCCTAACTCTCAGCAAAGCAAATTGTAGTTCAGAGGTGATGGGAGACAAAAGCAGCGTCAAGCCAGCCGCCATCTTGACGGGAAAACGAAGAAGACGACAGACAGCACCCCAGCCAACCCGATAGTCAGCAACAGACAGCAGCCCAGCCAACCCGATCGTCAGCAACCCAGCCTACCCGATCGTCAGCAACCCAGCCTACCCGAACGTCAGCAACAACGACATCCAGACAATATCCATGCAATCGTGTGAATACGCCAACGTTCAGCCATGCTACCAACACTAAAGATCAAGTCAACCAACGTCAAGATTCTTTAGCAAGTGCCAACCGATATATGTGCGTTTGTGACAATATATTTGAACTTTCGTTCCAACTCTCAACGTGTATTGTGCTTATACGTATTTTCACGGACATTCTTGTTCCTATAAGGTATGTTATGTAATCAAGTCATTATTGTTTCGTTGTCTTAAAATTTTGTCATGTTTTTCTATAATGAGTATGTATTGCAATCTATGTGTTGTTATCAGAGGTACATCCTTATCAGATTAAGTTTTTGAAATCGGCTAGGCTCTTACTCTTCATGTCCTACGCCCTACGCGTCACTTTCATACAGGCAGGAATTCGGACTGCGATTCTTCTTCTTCATCGACGCAGTAGCTGTCGCCACTAATAGCCGAACACAATCTGTCCGCTCCTGTCGGTGATCTGGCCGGTCTCCCTGTTTGACCATGTCATTTAGGTTTCGCAGATAGTGATGCATGTATTACATAACGGGGTGCAAGGTCGGTGGTCCAAATACATACACATACGTCAGATCCGGCGACGTAAGGAGGTGTTAATGGACATTTCTATATAGCGCCTGAGGGGGCTTATAATTAGAGGGGACACGCCGAATGTTTGCTGGAAATATTAAACAGACTAATGAGGCAGAGTTTAGGTGAACTTTGGCGACATATTGAAACAATTGGATATTCTGCATAAAAGAAGTTTTAAAGATGCGAATAAAGAGCACTCTGCATCATTGGAGATCCAATTTTAATATCCTAAACTACTGATCAGAAGAAAGTAAAACGTCGAATTGGACTGCTTATAAAAAGAAAATATCATTTGAAATGTATTTTGTTGAAGTTCAGTCATAAGTGATACAACAAGCTAATGGACAATTTCGTAGCACTCAGGATGGACTGACACTTTTCACACAAAAACACTTATGGTAAAAGCCGTAATCTTGTGTGACGTCCTCGCCTTATCAATGACGTAAGCCTCATAATGACAGCTGTCCCACTCCTCCAATGTGTGGATGTTGAGGGGTACAGGAAGGCCCGACAGCCTGCAGTACAGCTAATCGTCCTGACACATTGTGTCTATATGCGCACTTTACGTCGCCGTCAGGAAGTAATTGCGCAGATGTAACGTGCGCAGATGACGGTCCTCCATTCGATTTACAGTGTCAACTTGTTTACTTCTGCTATTACACCTTAATGCAGTCTAAGTAAATACGTTCTGGTTTCTACCTTGCTATTTACTACGTAGTATTCTACACATAATAAGGAGCTTATTGTGTTCATAATGTACAAAACATGATGACCCGTGAAGTTTTGCATGAATAGTGTGCTTGCCACAATCCTGTAGCCTTTGTTTGGAACATTGACATGAAATGAGAGAAATCACTATTATCCAGGTGAAGCTAAACAAATCCAAATCAGTAACTATGTGATACTATTCACACATGTAAAGGTACATCTGCCCACAGTATAATCGCATTAGTGTATGGCATTGCCTAGGATGAGGGTTATCCGACATTCTTAACAATTTACTACAGTATGTAATTGTTTGGTTATCATTTTCAACCTGATTCATTTTCCTTTGGCCAAGGTTTTACAGCACACTCGCAAACTAACAATGTATACTTTCTTTTTAATCGTCATTGTAGTAGTTGAGATTGCCTCAAATTGACCTAACAAATTTGTCTAACAAACGCTGGTGTGAGAAGTCTATACGATGATGTTAATGGTGCAATACCAGATCCACTGAAACAATTACAATAAATGTATATTAACGTTAGCCACATACCTTTAGATATACGAATGTTAGTGACAACTAGGGCGACTAGAAGCGCTCCCATCAGAAGGGTGCATTGATGTAGACGACATAACCTGAACATCCTCCTCACGGGCAAGATCCTCACCATTCCGTATACCCTGGGGCTGCAACATACGTGATCATCAGGCACAGCTGAACATGTATTGAAAATCTTTACTCGGTCCTTTTTATTTGGCCGATTGGACTATGTACCACATAATTATATGTTCAGAGTTCCATGTGACAGAGATACTGTGAGACACAATATCGAGACAGCACAGGTTTCAGCAAGTTCGGACACACACAAAAATATACACTACTGCCATAGGATTTATGGATATGAAAATTATTGTTCATGTAAACATACAATGGGCAAACAGATAAGAAATTATATTCGTCGTCTACATCACACAATGTGATAAACTGGGAAATCGTGTTTTTGACGATTGTTTCAATTACGAAATCACGCTATTTAGTAAATCTAGCCTACAAACTCTTCAATACTGACACAGTATTTCATAAGATCTTCATGGGTATCATTTGCAAAGCGGGAGCACGGTCATATTTTTAAAAGTATTCTTCTTTGTGGTGTCTGAGAGTTCTGGTAAAATCAAACGGTGAGGTATGTGTAATTGTGCCACCCACATACCTTTGCTTCAGACATGGGGATACTGCATCTTGGTCACAAGGGAAATGAAGTTGGTAGCAACTACCATTTACACGTTTGACAGTAATAGTTGTGACACTGTCTACTTTCTACATAAGCTAAAATAATGTTTCATTGGTATTTCCGTCACCAAAAATAACTGAATTTATCACTTTAGACATCTAAAAAAAGCCCAAAATATATCTTACTTTAAGAGTCTCAAAGTTTGAGTACAGACGAAACTACTTGGAGACTGTATATGCCTAATGATATTTTCAATAGCGGTAAAACTTGTACACCAATGTCCAATACACGTTCTTTACGACTTAAGGCAGAAATATCTTCTCCAAAAGAATAAACTAAAACTTGATGACAGGAACTATATGTGAGATGAATATGACTTCCAAACAAAATCCAAAGATCCAGACATTGAAATCTCTAATGCTTCAAAGAAATTCAACTATCACAACAGATTTATACAACATATTGTAAACAGATTTATACAACAGATTGTAAACAGATTTATACAACAGAGTAAGAAAACGTCCTTTAACAAGAACAGTTTTCATTAATGTCTCCGCTGTTCAAATGAACGTAAGATTTCTGTACCAACTAACCAGACAGTATTATTCCAACAACCTTGGCAGAACATTTGTTCACGCCTACAGTTTTTGTTTTGTTAAATATCTCAGAATATATACACCAAACGAAGATGTTATATTGATACAAATCATGAAAAAAAACATAACGAAGCAGAATTACACTAATATGAATTTAAAATGTCGTTTTCACCCTGAAAAGCACCACGTTGTCGATTCGTCTCAGTTGAGCCACATGACATCAAAAGTAAACTTTAAGATAAAAATATTGAACTTTTTGTTAAGTATCGTGTATAAACACTATAACGATTCTGGACAGAAGTTAGGTTTAGTTCAAAATATTAATTAAAAGGGCTAAACGCTTGTCTAAATCATAGTTCATGTGATCGGGTGAAATCACAATTGTTACTGTCCAGCGAGAAAATGGTAGTTGCTTTCTATCAACTTTCAGTTTGACATGGATAACGCTAACCCCTGTGCAGGTCTTACATACAATGTCAGATTCCCTTGTCGGATATATAGAACATTTTAAAGAGTAACTTCATTCAATATATATTTATATATATATGTCATGATAACTACTTGACTCAGTAAGGTGCACGATTTAGTGTGACAGGTTCAATTAATTATTTCCTTGAAGTAGCCGCTAACACTGGATCCCGTCTCCCAGCCAGCAGCTGTTACGTGTCTGCTAGGTTTATATTGAGCAGTAGCTTGTTTCCGTTAATTGCAGGAACACCTAGTTCAATGTCGAAAACCACGTGCAGGTAGTGACATATACCTTTGTACCTGGACATGCTCAACATGACTACAGCACCAATACATGTGATAGTCTGGTAGTGGAAGTAATTACTATACTACTCAAAGTTTGCTAAGGATCAAGTTTTGATGACAGCAAGGTATCATTCAACAAATAAAGATTCCCGTTACATATGTTTGGGTAAGCCCTAAAGGACTTCAATTTCACGATGAATGGACATAGGCATGCAGCCATGAATACGATGTGCTTGATGTGCTCGATGTGCTTAAAAATCTGTGTTTGGATGTATCGTGACAGCACCGTGTACCATTATCAGAGAACACAACAACATTTGCTACTGAAGATTGCAACAACTGAATACACGTATGCCCCCTCAGCGTCTGAGAATGGAATCGATACCAGTTAGGACCAGCTGTCCATTCACATCGGGTGGCCGACAGCGTTCCACCACCCAGCGGGAAGACAGGTTTCCCCTGATCGCACCAAGACGTCATCATTCCGTGTCTACCACCACAATCACAAATGGCCTGCGGAACACCAGTAGCGTTAACCTGATACTCAGACAGTACGTAATCGTCTCCATGAAGATGGTTTCCGGTCACGGAGCGCATGAATTCGCATCCCACTGACCCGACATCTGACACATATCAAAAGCAGAACTATTCATTATTGCAAACGAAATGAATAAAACTTTAGTTTGACTACATATATTACAGTGAGCAATATTCACATCAGGTATAAATGGAATTATGATATATAAGATCAAACAGAGTTATGAGTTATCCTTTGTTGAAAAAAACCCAACATTTCATCTTTTTGCATTCTTGTGTACGAGACTGAAAGCACTTTCCTGGATGTTCGAAGTGTGATATATTGAATTTGCAGTTTCATAATAATAGACATGTATTGGTTCACGGCCAGTTACTGAGGAACGATATAATTGTACATAGAAACCCAAGATATATACACATTAAACATTATACATTTATTGAACCCATCTGGTGCATGCATTGATTCCTCTGTACAGGTAGAGGGAGAGGGGTGGCGGTGGGAGAGAGTGAGAGAGAGGGAAAAAGATAAAAGACGAAAGTGAAATTATGATTTCACTGTATACATACACATATACATGTATAAAAACTGTATAAAACCTCACGATATGAATGCATTGAATCATCTGTATACATATATTTAACCAACAGAATACTTGTATTGAGTCCTTTGTATACATATATTTTGCCTACAGTATGCATGCATTGAACATCTGTATACGTATATTTCGCACTGACAATGAACACCACACATCACTACCACGGGACATTGTGAACCAGTAGCTTTCACGTTCCGTGGACAGTGATCACTCCATATCACTGCCAGAGGTCATTGTGAACCAGTAGGATTCACGTTCCGTAGACAATGATCACTCCATATCACTGCCAGAGGTCATTGTGAACCAGTAGGATTCACGTTCCGTGGACAGTGATCACTCCATATCACTGTCAGAGGTCATTGTGAACCAGTAGGATTCACGTTCCGTGGACAGTGATCACTCCATATCACTGCCAGAGGTCATTGTGAACCAGTAGGATACATGTTCCGTGGACAGTGATCACTACATATCACTCCCTGAGGTCATTGTGAACCAGTAGGGTGCACGTTCCGTGGACAGTGATCACTACATATCACTCCCTGGGGTCATTGTGAACCAGTAGGATGCACGTTCCGTGGACAATGATCACTACAAATCACTGCCAGAGGTCATTGTGAATCAGTAGGGTGCACGTTCCGTGGACAATGATCACTACATATCACTGCAAGAGGTCATTGTGAACCAGTAGGGTGCACGTTCCGTGGACAGTGATCACTACATATCACTGCCAGAGGTCATTGTGAACCAGTAGGGTGCACGTTCCGTGGACAGAGATCAATACATATCACTCCCTGACGTCATTGTGAACCAGTAGGATACACGTTCCGTGGACAATGATCACTACATATCACTGCCAGAGGTCATTGTGAACCAGTAGGATTCACGTTCCGTAGACAATGATCACTCCATATCACTGCCAGAGGTCATTGTGAACCAGTAGGATTCACGTTCCGTGGACAATGATCACTCCATATCACTGCCAGAGGTCATTGTGAACCAGTAGGATACACGTTCCGTGGACAGTGATCACTACATATCACTCCCTGAGGTCATTGTGAACCAGTAGGGTGCATGTTCCGTGGACAGTGATCACTACATATCACTCCATGAGGTCATTGTGAACCAGTAGGGTGCACGTTCCGTGGACAGTGATCACTACATATCACTGCCAGAGGTCATGGTGAACCAGTAGGATTCACGTTCCGTGGACAATGATCACTCCATATCACTGCCAGAGGTCATTGTGAACCAGTAGGATTCACGTTCCGTGGACAGTGATCACTCTATATCACTGCCAGAGGTCATTGTGAACCAGTAGGATTCACGTTCCGTGGACAGTGATCACTACATATCACTCCCTGGGGTCATTTTGAACCAGTAGGGTGCACGTTCCGTGGACAGTGATCACTACATATCACTCCCTGAGGTCATTGTGAACCAGTAGGGTGCACGTTCCGTGGACAATGATCACTCCATTTCACTCCCTGGGGTCATTGTGAACCAGTAGGATGCACGTTCCGTGGACAATGATCACTACATATCACTCCCTGAGGTCATTGTGAACCAGTAGGGTGCACGTTCCGTGGACAGTGATCACTACATATCACTGCCAGAGGTCATTGTGAACCAGTAGGGTGCACGTTCCGTGGACAGTGATCACTCAATATCACGGCCAGAGGTCATTATGAACCAGTAGGGTGCACGTTCCGTGGACAATGATCACTCCATTTCACTCCCTGGGGTCATTGTGAACCAGTAGGGTGCACGTTCCGTGGACAATGATCACTCCATTTCACTCCCTGAGGTCATTGTGAACCAGTAGGATACATGTTCCGTGGACAATGATCACTAAATATCACTGCCAGAGGTCATTGTGAACCAGTAGGATTCACGTTCCGTGGACAGTGATCACTCTATATCACTCCCTGGGGTCATTGTGAACCAGTAGGATGCACGTTCCGTGGACAATGATCACTACATATCACTCCCTGGGGTCATTATGAACCAGTAGGGTGCACGTTCCGTGGACAGTGATCACTACATATCACTCCCTGAGGTCATTGTGAACCAGTAGGGTGCACGTTCCGTGGACAGTGATCACTACATATCACTGCCAGAGGTCATTGTGAACCAATAGGATGCACGTTCGTGGACAATGATCACTACAAATCACTGCCAGAGGTCATTGTGAACCAGTAGGGTGCACGTTCCGTGGACAGTGATCACTCCATATCACTGCCAGAGGTCATTGTGAACCAATAGGATGCACGTTCCGTGGACAGTGATCACTCCATATCACTGCCAGAGGTCATTGTGAACCAGTAGGATTCACGTTCCGTGGACAATGATCACTCCATATCACTGCCAGAGGTCATTGTGAACCAGTAGGATTCACGTTCCGTGGACAGTGATCACTCTATATCACTGCCAGAGGTCATTGTGAACCAGTAGGATTCACGTTCCGTGGACAGTGATCACTACATATCACTCCCTGACGTCATTTTGAACCAGTAGGGTGCACGTTCCGTGGACAGTGATCACTACATATCACTCCCTGAGGTCATTGTGAACCAGTAGGGTGCACGTTCCGTGGACAATGATCACTCCATTTCACTCCCTGGGGTCATTGTGAACCAGTAGGATGCACGTTCCGTGGACAATGATCACTACATATCACTCCCTGAGGTCATTGTGAACCAGTAGGGTGCACGTTCCGTGGACAGTGATCACTACATATCACTGCCAGAGGTCATTGTGAACCAGTAGGGTGCACGTTCCGTGGACAGTGATCACTCAATATCACGGCCAGAGGTCATTATGAACCAGTAGGGTGCACGTTCCGTGGACAATGATCACTCCATTTCACTCCCTGGGGTCATTGTGAACCAGTAGGGTGCACGTTCCGTGGACAATGATCACTCCATTTCACTCCCTGAGGTCATTGTGAACCAGTAGGATACATGTTCCGCGGACAATGATCACTAAATATCACTGCCAGAGGTCATTGTGAACCAGTAGGATTCACGTTCCGTGGACAGTGATCACTCTATATCACTCCCTGGGGTCATTGTGAACCAGTAGGATGCACGTTCCGTGGACAATGATCACTACATATCACTCCCTGGGGTCATTATGAACCAGTAGGGTGCACGTTCCGTGGACAGTGATCACTACATATCACTCCCTGAGGTCATTGTGAACCAGTAGGGTGCACGTTCCGTGGACAGTGATCACTACATATCACTGCCAGAGGTCATTGTGAACCAATAGGATGCACGTTCGTGGACAATGATCACTACAAATCACTGCCAGAGGTCATTGTGAACCAATAGGATGCACGTTCGTGGACAATGATCACTACAAATCACTGCCAGAGGTCATTGTGAACCAGTAGGGTGCACGTTCCGTGGACAGTGATCACTACATATCACTGCCAGAGGTCATTGTGAACCAATAGGATGCACGTTCCGTGGACAGTGATCACTACATCTCACTCCCTGAGGTCATTGTGAACCAGTAGGGTGCACGTTCCGTGGACAATGGTTCGTGTTGTACATTGTCCCCCAGACATTGCAAGTATAGGACACTGTCAACTACGAAAGAGGGTTAGAGTAGATCTCAAGCACTCTTTCCCTGGTTGAAAAAGGCGAATGTGATCTGGTGGTTAGGCTCTGTGACGTGGTAGTTTGTCTATCATCGTACCCCAATGACGTGGGGCATTGCTCACAATATCAGTCATGTGTTTCTCTTGCCGCCCAGACTCGATTATTCACAGGATCCGCGATATAGTTTAAGTACAACAACACCTGTATAGTGATATAGACGCACTACTTACGCGTTCTTGCACCAAGTCGGCAAGTACGGCCAGATTCTGATGTCTACCTCTGATCAGCACTGCACATGTGCACGAGTCGTTCGGGGCGTGATGGTCGTGATACCAGCTGTCTTGAATATATACTGAGCAGATGACATATTCCCAGTTAGCATTAGGTTCATTTGTAAATGTCCTTCGTGTTGTGTGGTGTATAGAAATCATCAATTGATTCTGAGTTCAGACATCAATTTGAATATCCGATACCGTCACAGCTGGAAGCCTGGGCAGGCCGTGAAGGGATTTTGCCGTCTATATTCTGTGGAACACGCTTAGAAACAACTCGGTAAAGCCAACAGACGGGATGCCGGAGATATTCACGTTTTATGTAGTAAAGTGATATACCTGAAACGTATGTCATTACTTTCCCAATGACAACAAATACTTTCACAGAAGAACATATCATGAGTTAACGTTACTCGGATGATTTTATTAATGGCAAGCGCAATGGCATGGGACAGTGCGTATTTTAGAATGCACAGCCAAAAGATATATCTTCATCACGTGGCGTATATGTCTATCCTGATATAAGCACTACAGGCTGCCACACACTTGGTATATTGACCGGCGCAGCTACAGTTACCGACACATAACACACTGGTAATGAACAAACGTCAGCTATAAACGAATCTATACTTGTCGTGGTGTTTACTTAGATGACTCAATTGTTGAGTGATAATAAGTAACCAAATCTTCTATTAACATGTAAAACATTCTTTAGATTTAACAAGAGCAGTGTCACATCTGGGGTTAAATGGGAAAATGTCTCTAATAAATGTTTTATGTGATTTGGACATATGGAAAATTCCCACTCGGAACATTTTTTCAAAATATTTGATTCAAAAATCAAACCCATCCTTCATGGGGACATCAAAGATTAGAGGTAGTAGAAAGGGTCCAATATCTATCTTGTAAATATAATCTCTGTACAGGAATTAACACTCCCAATGTAATGGCTTATGTGAATATGGACGGTCCCCATTGTTTATAAACAGTTCGGTGAAATGCATTTAATACTTGCTAAAACTACTTCATATGCCATCTAATAGACTCCGGGTAAGGCATAAGAAATGTTATTTAATCTTGATTCAGTAGGTTGGTAGAACAGGGCAAGTAATGTTAGACTTATTCTGTTTAGTTCAGGTCTTGGGTATTCTTGGGTCTACCATGAAGTTCGATGTTTTGCTAGCTTTCTCAACCTTTTTCAAGCCCGTTTGAAAGATAAGTACAGCCAAGAATGGACCAATATATTATCATCTAGTTCTAGACATGAATATTATACACTTTTTAAGATAAGCCTAGAAGCAGAGAAATATTTAAAGATTTGATCTTGTGTGCATTTGCTACCGAGTTTGTTTGTGGGCGAGTTGGATGTACAAGGTCTACTATTGATACCAGGAGACACCACTAAAATTCCAAAATCTTGTACAAATTGTAATCTAAACAATTTCGATGATCTGTATCATTTCACCTTTATATGTCCATCCTCAAAAGATATTCGAAAGCAATACATACCAAATAAATATGTAATTAGACCGTCAGTCCAACAATTTATTTGCTTTATGGAAACCTCAAATTATCCAGATTTAAAATTTGATATGTTATATTTCAAATATGCCTTCAAGCTCAGAAATGTAATGAAATGAAACATGAGATTCTACTTGTAAAATTATCCCGTACTGCGTTGTATCCTCTCATGTATACACCTCGTCATAAATATAGCACCACCCACTTTTTTTCACTAAGTACAACTTGATCTTCAACCTCATAAAAATGATGCTTAGAAAAACACATTAAACTGTTTATATGGCCTCATGTGAGCGTTCAGTCAGAAAATTGACAACACAAGACCGAATTTGAGCACTAATTGAGGGTTTAATTGTAGCAAACTAAAGTTCACTAAAATCACCGTGAAATAAGGTGAAATAAGTATGGATGCCGAAGTCGTTACAACAGACACACAACACAGTTCACATTTCATTAATGTCGAACACACTAGTAAGGTCCACAATGACTGGCTAAGTCAGTATCTGGTGTAATCGTCTCGCACTTCGATAACATGTTCTACACGCCGTCTCATGCTGGTCACCAGACGTCTGAATCTCTGTTGGGGGATCTGCTGCCACTCATCATGCAATGCATGGGTCAATTCCTGAAGGTTCTGAACTGGAGCATCCCTTGCTCTCACCCTACGTCCCAAAATAGTGGGTAGTGTCTCAGTGGCGTTGTGTTGGAGATGCTGAACAACAGCTCGAGCACGATGTGGTCCGGCATTATTGTCCACGAAGACTGGACGTGTGGCGAGAGCATGGTTATCGAAATGAGGCACAACAGCACCGTCCAGGATCAAGTTCTAGTACCTCTGTCCATTCAGTGTTCCGGGAACAGTGATGAGGTCAAGTTTACAATCATAGGAACAACACCCCCAAAACATGACGGATCCACCCCCATATGGAACATCAGCTTGATTGTTCCTCAGATCATATGCTGTGCCTGTCTGCCTCCAAACTCAAAAGCAAAAATCTGCTTTCATCGGACCAGTGGATCCTTCTCCATGTCCTCAGGTTCCAGCGAGCACGTGCTTGGCACCAGGCCAAGCGGGCATGGCGGTGCTGATTTGTGAGTAGTGGACGTCTGATTAGTCGTCTTGCTCTCAATCCTGCAGAATTTGGGCGTCGTCTGGTGGTGCTGATGGACACTCTGTTGTATGGATGCCATCCATGTCGCAGCTGTGTACAAGTAGACTTTGGGCTTCGTCTGTCTTGGCGTACGAGAGCACGATCTTCCCTGTCATTGGTTTTTCTGGGACGTCCAGTCCTCGGTGCATCCTTCACTTCACGGATGCAGTATGCTTACGTATTAGCCTGCTGAAGAGAGTGTGATTAATGTTCAGTTGTGCTCCAATAGCACGACATGACATACCAGTCTGGTGCATACCAATAATTTGCCATCTTTGGTTCAGAGGCACTGGACGGTTGGGCATTTCACTGGTTGGTCAAAATAAAGCTTAATTTATGCCTAAATCCAAATTTTAACTGTGTCTGCCAACATAACATACGCCAAAAGAGGCTATGTGCATACTGCATTTTTAGCAAACCGACCCCCGGTACAAGCATGCTCAACGCAAGCATGCACGTGCAGCTCGGAACAGGATGTGTTTGTGATATTATGTTCACAGATGGTGTAGTATATAAAATATTATGAAATAATTATATTTTCTACTTTTACTTTAAAATGTGTGGTGCGATATATATGACGAGGTGTATATTTGGGCCTTTGACTTATCATACAATCAACATTTGAGTTAATAAACATGTAAAATGCGTCATATTTTTCGTCAAAACATTCATAGAAATGAAACCACAAAAGTAAGATAGGGTTACTTTTTGAGTTACAAAATGGAGACGATCGGCAAGTTTGGCCCCACTCCGATTTCTACCTCTGCTCACGCTGGACATGTCAACGGCTCGTGCGGAGCGTGCCGGTTGCGATACCCACTGTCTCAGCACAGGACATGTCAACGGCTCGTGCGGAGCGGGCCGGTCGTGATACCCACTGTCTCAGCACGGGACATGTCAACGGCAATAGTATAGGTAATGGGGGTTCTGGACCACTTCCACTGGAGCCAGATTCATATACCTATACTGCTACTACAGGGGGCATTTTTTATGCCAAAATGATTATGCGATTCAACGATAGTCATAAGTCGTATTAAAAGAAACATCAATATTAATTAATAATGAATAGAATTTACTATAGCCCACGAGGATATTGGAAAGGTGTAGGAGCAATAAAAAAATTAGCCACCGCGGCTAAAGTATCTAAAGATGTGGCCAAGGATTGGTTAAAGAAACAAGCGATGTGGCAAATATATTTACCGGCACCGCGTTATATACCGAGGAAGAAGTTTGATATTTTTACAACGAATGAAGTTCATCAGGCTGACCTCTTGTTTCTTCCCCACGATAAGGTAAAAACGCAAAACGTATAAATATGCTTTAACAGTAGAGGATGTGGCTAGTCGTTACAAAGAGGCTGAGCCATTAACCTCAAAAGATTCAACAGAAGTAGCTAATGCACTGAGTCACATATATAAACGCGGACCACTAAAATGGCCTAAGCTATTTCCAGTAGATCCTGGTCGCGAGTTTACGGGATCAATAACTAATCTGTTAACAAAGCACGATGTCAAAATCAGACGTGGTGAAAGAGAGGCCCACCGCAGTCAAGCTATCGTCGAAAGATTTAACAGGACATTAGCAGAACGTTTGTTTGGCTATCAGTATGGGATCGAAATGAAATCGGAATGATTGAGATCAACCGAATGGGTGACACGATTATCAGCCGTTGTATCAGCGCTGAATAATGAAGTAACGAGATTAATAGGGAAGAAACCATCCGATGCTATTAAAATGAAATCCGTGACTTCCGAATCTTCAGCACCGAGGAGAGGCAAAGAATGAAAACTTCCGGATAGATTAAGGGTAAGATATTTATACCAGCCCAGTGAACTCGAAGGAGGCCTACATCGCGCAACCGATCCCATATGGTCCCTTAAGACATGTAACATTAGTCGATTGGTTATGAAAGAAGGAGAGCCTATTCTTTATTATCTTCAAGATGGACTGGGTAGGGCATTTGTACGAGAAGAGTTGTTCATAGTTCCCAACGGTACAGTATTACCACCATAACCATAAGCATAGGTAGTTACACCATCATTATCAATCCATGTCTTTGTATCTAAGGGGGATAATGATATCTTGTTCATTCTTAATCCATATATCCTATGATTGTAACTTCTTAAAGAGTTCATCTCATGTTTGAACGTTCTACCGTTGAATAATGATTCTTTATACTGTTCGTGTTTGATATGCCTTTTTACAACATACTTCTTAACGCCCTTAGCTTTTCTTATCTCCCCATTATCGGACTTCTTTATAGAATACATCTTAGGTCTTAATCCGACATACTCCGCTATAGGGGTCCCAGCACATTCATCCTTCATCTTACCTAACACCTTTTTATTTACTACGCTGTGCAGTGGATTATCTTTTGGGTAATCGCTCGTGTCGTACGTATCTATTTTTTCTGCCATATCTTTATACACATCCTCGGTTTGTATTTCCATCAACAAAGAATCTGTGACG